AGGGAGGCGGATTTTCTATTTCTAGTACAAAAAAGTGGCATATCTGGCCTCCTAAAGAGGGGTCTCACACTTCCTGCTAGGGCTGCACACAGGTTCCAGCTAAATCCCAGGTTTCGAATCAAACTGGGCCAATTTGGGCCAACTGCAGATTTGACCTGAACGGGTTGAGGCAGCTCTGGATCACCCAAGGTTGGACTGGGCCCACCCAGAACAATCTGGGGTTGTCAAAATGGTTGGTGGTGGTCTGGCAACAAGGGATGGAAGGAAATGTGCAGGTAGCTCCCCCATCCTGACCATGAGGCTCATGTCTCCTTTTACCACTCCTGACTGCATGCTTAGTTAGGGTTTAAAACCTTAATTAAACATATGGGAAGGAAGGGGAAAAGAAGGGGACACATGTCTCAATCTCCTCACTGAGCAAAGCCCCGAATCAGTTCGGGTTCTGGATCTGGGTCAGGTTTGCCGCAGACCATCCTGGGTTGGATCAGGGCCACTCATAAGTGTTGGCTTGAGCCCTGAACCTTACATTGTGGGTTAGTATGCACAGCCTGCTGTTCCTGCACCCACACCCCAGGCTGCCAAACAAAAGTTCAATGGCATAGTTTAACAGCAAACTTGCATTTCTGCACAATATTGTCATGCTAGACTTGGTAGTCTTGTCTATGGTGACAAATGATGTGTACAGATGTACACATTCTGAGTAGTGAAGCTGCTCTGGAAGTGCACTTACTGCATTCTTGTCAAATGGTTTTTCTGTCCAGGACTGAGAGCAATTAACCAGATCTGGAACTTTGTTGCAGAAGCCAATAATGCACAGCACTGATTGGCTCACCTCTGTAACGTCCCAAAACACGTCCTCATCTCCCAAGAAGTTCAAAAACCGTTTTTAAAGGTATATGCTGCTCATGTGGATGAAGTTAATGAGCTTGAGACTGTAGACTGTAGATAATCTTCTATTGAAATCTTTATCTGCCTTCAAATGGGAGGTCTTTGGCCCCATAGGTAGGCACATCTATCTTCTCAATTTTCAAGGCCAGCAAAGAATATTTAAAATATTATTTTCCACATTCTCAAGGCTCAAACACATTCTGAGTCTTTCTTTCTTTCTTTCTTTCTTTCTTTCTTTCTTTCTTTCTTTCTTTCTTTCCTTTCAGCGGCTGTGTTTGGGTTTCCAGTTCTTCACAAGACTCAAATTTATGCTGCTGGTCTTGGTTTTCTTGAATTTCTGTTCCCTTCACTTATGCTAGCTGACAAAGTATTTTTGACCTAATTTACCCAAGTGCTCATGTAATAGGCATTACATTCATCGGTGTTGTCTCTCACTGTGCACCACGAAGCTACACATTATCAAAAATATGTGTCATTTTACAGCTGCTTATTCTAATGTTTAATTACTCCTTACAATAAGGTCACCAGTAGTTACATAATTTTAAAGAACAAGCAGTATTTTAAGAAAGTGACCTAGAAATATGGCAAAATAATTATGTTGGCAATCAGATATTCTTGCCCGTCTGAAAAATAGTTTGTTTGACAGTGTCTGGGAACCCCAAGCTAAATTTTGCTAGTTGCTGTGTTCAATCCACCAGGCTCAAGCACTGTGGCACCTTTCATTGAGGAATGTCCTCCACCTGGAATGTCCTCCCTAGGGAGGTTCACCTGAATGAATCATTGCTTGCCTTTCATTGGTCGGTGAAAACATAATGTATAAATGTCTTAGGAGAACCTTGGTATTAAATGGCAAGCATGTGTCCTATTTACAGAAGACAGCCCTATACTTGCAGGCCTGTGAATTCAAGGACAGCCCTCTTATTTGAAGGCAGCTTCTATTCAAAGTCTAGATTGAAAATAAAGACCCAAAAGAAGAAACAGCAGGGCAAGGCCAACCTTTAGCACCTGAACAGCAGACAGATCACCTGGTCTGCATCCCCACTTGGGTGAAATGTATTATAGTTCTTTTTAAATCACAGTAATTATTTGTATCTATCCATAAAAATCAGCATGTGCAAATGTGATGCAAATCCAAGTCCTCTTTAGTCCCCTTTTCTGACAATCCATAAGTGGCCACACTATGTTACAGAATCATGGAATCGTAGAGTTGGAAGGGACCATGAGGGTCATCTAGTCCAACCCCCTGCAATGCAGGAACCTTTTGCTCAACGTGGGGCATGAAGCCACAACCCTGAGATTAAGAGTCTCATGTTCTACCAAGAGAGCTATCAATATGCTGCTGGAGAATTGTTTTCTCCAGCAGCATAAAATATGCTGCTGGAGAATTGTTTTCGGTGTCGTGCTTTTGTTGTTCTTTTCTCTGGTGGTTTTACCATTTGTGTTTTGATACTGCTGTTTTAATTGTTTTAATTTTAAATTGTCTTAAGATTTCTGTTGTTGTTGTTGTTGTCCAGGGGTCCTAAGGGCAGGAAGATGGCGCACAAAATGGCACAGATAAATAAAACTGATTCATTGTAATCTATGGAGGGCTCGCAAGGGCAGCAGTTGGTGGACAGTCTTCCACTCATTGTTGAAGAGGGCACATGACTGTCATAGGAACTGCCTTTATATTCATTGCGTCACTTTCTCCTCTTAGGCTGCAATCCTATGCAGCCACCTGGAGGTAATTCTCTGTTGCACCATGTGAACATTCCACCAGCACGAGGATTTCTGCTTCTGCAACAAAACATTCTTCCCACTGTGCACCCTATAAATTGGTTCTAGGAGCTCCCCCCTTCTTCTAGAGCAGATTTGGGGGAGTTGTAGAACACACACAGGGGGAAGGGGGGGAAGTCCCATCGCAAAAACGGAAATCCTTGGGCTGATGGGATGTGCTAGTTAATAAAATAATAATAATAATAATAATAATAATAATAATAATAATAATAATAATCTGACCATTGAACTCAGTGGGACTTAGTTCTGAGTCGACATTAATGAAAAAATGTTATAAAAGCTGTTGCAATCTCTAAAAAGAGAACACTGCTTGAATATATATCAGCATATTTTCCTTAATGATTTCAAAACATCTATAAATGCATTCCTGCCTGTGCCTACTCAGAGGTAAGCCTCACTGAGTTCAATGGACCTTATTCCCCATTAAGCATGTAAAAGACACGAGTGTTTCCTGTTTGTGATCCAGCTGTTCTATTTATAAGTGTGGTTATTCTGTGTGGTTTTTCATGATCATATTCTGAAAAATGAACTTGAGACTGTCTATGGAACTATGGTTTGGAACAGATTCTCCTTTCCCAGGAGCTATGGTAGTGTGACCTCTGGAGAGGTTTCTAACTCTGCTTTTTTCTTTTTCTTCACTGGTGCCTTCTGCCTTTGGTTATCATAATTACACAATCAAACTCAGTGGTGGGGAAATTGTTCCAGGCATTCCAACATAATTTGTGTTCGGGAAGAAAGCCCTGAAAAAACGGCATAGCCTTCCCAAAAAAAGTTGCCCAACCTTTTCCCCAAGGTTAGGGTCCTTTAAACTGCTTCATTCGTTTTTCCACACTAATTTGAATTAAATGTTGTGAAGACTGAAGCCCCGGAAATTAAAAACTGTCATTGATTCTTGTTCTGGACAAACCTGTGTGGAATAGCTATAATTAATTACAAAAAAACACTGCTAAAAACAATACACAATACCTAGCGTCGTATTGCAACAAGTCGCATATTTCACCTCTTTCCCTGTTATCAGTTCTGATCTCTCATTATGGGTTGTCCTGAAACTATTACTGTGAGCATTCACTAAAGGGAGCGCTTTCACGAAGGCACCTTGTACATCATTAGCAGATAAGGGAATTAGCAAAACTGTACGTAAACGTAGGCGTGTATCACTCCCACTGAGACTTGGCAGTGGAAGATTTGGAAAAACAAGGAAAGCATGCTCCACTCCATAGGAGTTGTAATAGCTCACAGGAATGTTGGCAAGCTTATCCAGGTGAAGACAATTAAGGTATCCTAGCAGATCTGGAATGTGCTTGGAGCAACCACTGGCTGGCTATAAGGGAAGGAAGGAATGTGTCCTGGTTTGTCTTTACTGGAGCTTGCATAGAGTCAGCGCAAGCCATCTATTTTCCAGTGCAAAAAAAAAGGGGGGAAATGGATCTGTTCCCACCTGAACAGTAACCATTTCACCTTCTTCCGACAGAGCTGATAATAGCCACAAACCCCCCCTCTTAATCCTAGCTTAGTTACATTGTTTTCTGTGGCTATGAAGTGAGAAAATTATCTCCACCAAAATGCCTGCCTGCAAATTCTGTAATTGTTTTTCATTAAACCCAGCAGAGGCCCCCAGGCACCCATATTTCCTCATGGAAAACACTCTTTGAGTGTTACCTGCTCTGCACGCCTCGCTGCCTAATCACAATCCAGGCCCTTGATTTCTAAGCGGTTAGCAACTCAGCCACAGCGCATTTCCTGTTATTGGTTACTCTACAAGACTTTACCACCTAGGAACTGTGTTTTTCACCTCTTTTCACTGTAACTGTCTCTCTATGTATAAGATAATCAACCGAGTGTTATTAAGGGCAGAGTTTCACATTATACATCAAACAGTTTTCCCATCCTGTCACAATGCAACACCCACCCACCCTGGGGATTTGCTAGTGGTAGGAAGCAGGTGCTTAACCCTTCCCCTGACCTCTGATTGTCCCTTGCAAAATTGGTGGGCTGAAACTGAGATGTAATACAGTACTTCACCACAAAGGTGAGATTTAAACTGTGTGCTGTCTGGCCCATATCTATTTCCCTTGGTCACTACATTATCTATATTTTTGGTTTCAGATCCCAGCTGGGGGAGTAGGTTTAAAAACAACCTGTGGATACTTTTTGAAGGAAACAATGGATGGATGGACAAAAGGGTTAAGCACCACTTCACCCTATGTTAGCACTTGATTGGAAATGTTGGGGACAGTATTCCATGCTTGCTTCACAATGAGTCGCTCAGCCTTTAGTCCTCTAATGAATAAAATGGTAATAAATCATCTAGATAATAACCAGCCTCAATTCTGAAGTGCTTTATAAGAATCTATTCAAAAATAATACTTTGATCCCCTTCGGTGGTGGTCAAGATTCCTGTGTAAGTATGTTGTAGAGATGCTGCAAGCCTCAAGATGAGCTCAGCAAGTGTCTTGAAAGTGACAAATCGGAATGCCATGCTTTCTAGTCATGGCCAGTTTTTAGAAGAATCTATTTATCACAGGATAATGAGCAGGAGGGAGAGAGAGAGGGAAATGGAGTTGTGGTTAAGATGGTGTAAGAAAGGATGTGGAAGTTTGCTGAAAGTGACTGCATGGAGGCAGGGGAGTTAAGATGGTGTGAGAAAGGATGTGGAAGTTTGCTGAAAGAGACTGCATGGAGGCCTGCTGTGTGTGTGTGTGTGTGTGTGTGTGTGCGCGCAGATGGACATTAGGCGTATTTCCCAGCTGAAACATTGGTTGCAGGCCTCTAGTCTGAGCTCCATCACCCATCTACCAGCTGTAGCTGAACAACAACGTAAATTAAATGCAATTTGTTAATTATCTGTCAGTATCATATGCACATTGTTGTGTCTTTCTGGCTCATTAAATGTTTTCCATTTTGTTGTTAGGTGTTGAACTTAGTTGTTCTGCCTTGGGCTGTGGAAGTCCCCGTATCTGTCTCTCTTTCTCTCTCTCTCTCAGTGAACTTTACCATTGGCTAGACTTCCTAAATTATATACAGGGCTTGACATACTTAACTTCCTAAATTATATGCAGGGCTCAGCAACAGTCATATTTTGTTACCAACACATTACCCCCCTCATCCGAATCAGCTTCATAGATACTGGGACAGCCATATTTAAGTTGATTTCCTTATTAAGGGAAACACATTGGACAAGCAACAAAATGGTTCAGGGCGGAGTGCTTCTCTTCAGGGTGTCCCCCAGCCTGCCATGTCCTTTTCCAGGATTTTCAGTATCACTCTCACTCCTCCCAAGTTTCCATTTCCCTCACACCAACCACTGTCAGTGTTCCAAGTCCGTTGGTTTCGTCTTTTCAGTTGATTATTAGCCATAATGCAGTTGGAGTGAATCAAGTGGAGATTGAATCCAGTTGGAGTGAATCAAGCTGAAAGCTCCATGAGATAGCCCGACTTCTGTAACAGAAAGAGGAAAAAATGTTTTAGAATAATGAAAGTGCACCTACAGGTTTTTCTGTCTCTCCTGAAGCCAGAAAAAAGGCTTAGGTTTGCAGTGCCTAGTGCATATAGGAATAATGGTTTTCCTGTCCTTTTCTTGAGGACCTCTCTCTTAAGGCAGATGTGTCCTCTGTTGTTTGCTTTGACAGGTTCTAGTTCTGTAGCAGAAAGTTTGGGGCATAGAAAATTTATTGCTTTCCATGGTTCCTCTACACTGGAATGTTGTTCACACTAAAACAATAACTACAACTCATATAATACTAAGTCATATAGTCAAACCAGTAACTGAAGTTAGAGCAACTCTCCTCTGAGGAAAGATTTGGAACCTTTTAATTTAGAAAAAAGGTGGGGAGAAGATATAAAAAATTATATATGGTATGGAGAAAGTAGATATGAAGAAGTCCCCCCTCCACAATACTAGAACTTGGGTTCTAGGATTGGACAAGCACCATTGGACCCATCTCCCAAATATGAGAGCTATGTACCTATAAGCTCTCCATCTTTCCAGGATTCAGTTTATGCAGCCTACTACTGCATCAAGGTACCAGTCCAGGACTTTCCTCCTGACACAAATGTAATGGAGAAGTAGAGTTGGCTATCATCTCTGCTCTAAAACTCCCAACGACCACTCCCAACGGCTTCATATGGCTCCATAGCATTGGGGAGAAAGTAGTCATCTTCTTCTTTGGCGATCACTCATAGCCAAGTAAGATTATCTTCCATGAACACGATCTTAACAGGCCAATTCTGGATCCACACGTCCTTCCACAGTGGGGACATAGGATTCCAGACAGGAGTTGATCATGATGAGGGTTTGCCAAACGTGCCGTCCTCTTAACATGTTTCTCCCTTTCATCCTGAGTTCGAATGTCTTCAAAGTCCATGACATCTTTGGTAAAGGCTGTTCTTCAATTGGAATGCTCACATGCGATTGTTTCCCAATTGTCGGTGTTTATACTACATTTTATTAGATTTGCCTTGAGAGAGTCTTTAAACCTCTTTTGTTAACCATTAGCATTACGCTTTCCATTTTTAAGTTTGGAATAGAGTAGTTGCTTTGGGGAGAAAGTAGTGCCCTGCGGCAGCCCACAGCATAAACACTAGGGGGCTGAAGAGCACTCTCCCAATATTACTTTATTTACCTGACCCTGCAGATAGGACATTGGTCCAGAAAGATACCATAGTCAATGGTACCAAAAGCTGCTGAGATATAGAGAAGAAATAGCAGGGTTGCACAAGTCTGATTTGGTCCAAACCCAGCCTGAACCTACACTGACATGGATCCAGATAATCAGTCTTATCCAGGAATGTCTGCAGACATTCCTCCAATCACCTTCCTTAGAAAACAATTCTTTATTACCAGATGAGAGTTCTTACAATCCATTGTTACTACCATCACCAGGTTACAGCACTGGTGACTGCTAGGTAAGGAGGGCAAAGAGGGAGTGGGAAAGATATTGAACTGTACATATGATTTTTCCTAAGCAGCCTGCTCTTTGGCTTCAGGCTTCTAGTACACTTGCAATGGTGAAGCCCCCTAGCCTACGTCATCCATAGTCAAACATAATTAAAAAGATCTAAGAAATAAAGATAATTGACTGACAGATGTAGGAATGGCTGTGATGAAATGGAAGCTCCCAAACCTTCAGCGATGACTGATTAATAGACCTGAGGTGGAAACTGTTGTATTAGAAGGAATTATATACATTTCCAAAGTTTTCATGATAAGATGTTGAAAGACTGGGGAACTTTGCACAATCAAGTGCTTGGAGTTTTGCAAAGCAATTTTAGAGCAGCTGTACCAATAGCTAAATTGGAATCATTAGAACGATGCACTCAAGCCTTTAGTGGGTAGGTTTTGCTAGAGGAAAGGTAAGGATCACAAAAAAGTTTTGTTTGGATGACTGAGCTTTGTGGTGAATTGTGGATTAGGGGCCTCACATTCTTGAAATCGTGCAACATCCACTACCATCAGAGGAAATGTTGTTGATAAAAAGGAATGCAGATTTGGGGAATTAGTTTATGCCTCTAAAATGTAAGCAGAAAATCTAATGAAAATAGTTGACGTGTTCTGGAATCAGTATAGCCATCCTTGAGATTTTAGTGGAGGGGTGGGGAAAATGATTCCTGCCTTCATTAGCAACAAAGCACACTTAACAAAAGGGAGTGTAGCACCATTGAAAACCACTCCAATCCACCCTGAACAAAAAAGCAAGCAGCCCATTGCTATGGGGCCTCCAATAGAAAGGGGATAACAGCCAGCTATATTCATCTCTCGATACCCTAGCCAATGTGAATAGGCCTGGCACTAGGTTTGAGAAGGGGCACTGGGCATGGTGCCTCTGATGGCTCTTTGGTGCCCCTCTGCCTTCCCCAAGCTCATCAAGGAGCGATAGGGTAGCAGTGGAAGGCAACTGTGAAGTCTGGCAGTGGTGCTGAAAGCATCACAGCTCCTTCTGCCAACACTCTTTCAGCCCAGTGCTGTGAAGAACAAGGCAGCTGCTGCCAGCACCTTCATTATGCCCAATGCCTCTCTGCCTCCCATCCTTGATATAGTATATTCCAAGGTTTGGGGACCAGAGGCATTGGGGATAATCAGGGCATTTTTTCAGCTGGAACTCATCAGAACTCAGTTCTGGCCCCTCTCAGGTGGGCGCCATTGTCATTATAAGAGAACAAGGTGAGTTCTGGCACCTCTTTTTCTAGAAAAAAGCACTGAGGATAATGAAGCTGGGTAACAGTGGCAACCACATGATCCAGCACTTCTCTTTACAGTGCTGTACTTCCTGAGTCAGGATGTCACCAGCACTCCATGTATCAGCACACGCTTGAGGTGGTAGACATTTTTGCCTACCTGGGTTCCACCATAACCAAGAACCTCTCGTCAACACTGAGCTGGACAAGCTTATTAGCAAGGCAGCTATGGCAATGGCTCACTTCTTCAAAAGGGTATGGGAAAATGTGGTGCTAACATTTGGACCAATACCAAAATGAAGGTCTACCAAGCTTGTGTGTTGAGCATGGTGCTTCATGGAAGTGAGTTGTGGGAAGCTTACAACCACCAGGAGCGACGCCTCAACGCCTTCCACATGCGCTACATCAGGAAGATTTGGGGCATCACATGGCAGGACAGTGTCTCAAACAAAGATACGCTCTTCTCCTAAGCCCACATTCCCAGCATGTTTGCACTCTTGTCTCAGCGACATCTACGCTGCCTTGGTCATGTACACAGAATGGAAGATTTCAGGATCCCCAGGGACATGCTCTACAGGGAGCTGGCTTCAGTCACTGGCAAACCAACTCTGTGTTACAAAGATGTCTGCAAATGTGACATGAAGGCTGGCAAAATCAACCCCACCATTTGGGAGTCACTTGCTGACAACTGCAGTGCCTGGAGACAGACAGACAGACAGACAGACAGGTTGTGCACTCATACCATGACCGCTGGGAGGAGTGCAAAGAGAAGGAACAGCATGGTGCAGCTGCAGCTGCACAACCAGCCGCCTTCATCTGTCCTAGCTTCAACAAAACATGTCTCTCCTGCATCGGTCCCTACAGCCACAGCAGGTGCTGTAACCTTCCAACAGTTTGACTTCACCCCAAAGGCATACTCCTCCATTGTCAACTGAGACAGATAGATGCCCAACAACAACAACAACATGGTTAAAAGTAAAGGAGGCTGGTGTTAGCCAGAGTGGAGCATTTGCCCATCAAGCTGACAATGGGCCTATTAGCCCCAGTCATGGCCACATGTGCTGATTTATGCACAATGCTGATTATGCATATTTGCATACCATGCAAGGTTTTTCAAAAAGAAAGGAAGTAGTGAGACAGTCAGGGGGCAGAAAGGACAAAGCAATGCTGCCTTTTGAGATATTCCCAGTATCACTTCCAGGACGTTACAAGAAAGAAAGAAGATTAAAAATAAAATTGCTCATGCATTAGTGGACAGAAGGGTGCTGCTTTTCCCCATTGGCAAAACATCACAGATTAAGTCCTCTGAAAGCAAAACATCCCTATAGCTACTTCAAGGTAGCTGGATCCAACTCAACAAATGTTGCAATTTTTGTGCCATACAATTATCACCTGGAAAGGCTTGTACATTAGAAGATCTCAGAAAGCTCCACACATAGTCTGTGTCTCTTATCCCAAGAAAATATATGTTGTGTGATTACATCCTCAGTGCCACTAATGCAGGGGTGGAGCACCCTTGGCCCTCAAGATGTTACTGAACTACAAATCTTATCAGCCCCAGCAAGCATGGCTAATGGCCAGGGAGGATGGAAACTGTAGTTCAGCAGCACCTGGAGGGACAAATGTTCCCCACCCCGCACGAAGATCTTGTGCCAACTTCATAAGCTGTTGGTTATATATGGGCTCATTCACTTCATCTCTTTTCTTGCCTTACTATTGTTAGCCCCAATGCAATCTTATGTCTGCGCCGACTGTGGTTCCTTCTCCCTTTTAGCTAATACATTTTGCTTATCCTGGTTTGTGTTCATCAGAATTGTTGCAGCTGAATGCACATGCACACAGTGGCTTATCATTACATATTTATTTATATAATTTATATACAAATCTGTGCTCTCTCCGCAAACTGCTCAAAGGAACATAAGATGTTCCCTTATACTAAATCAGACCATTGATCCATCTAGTTCAGGATTAACTGGTAGAAGCTCTCCAGGTTTCCAGTAGCCCCAATTTTTTTGTTGGAAAGAGAACCTCCATCACAAATATTGTGCGCATAAGACCATTCAGCAGTCACAGAAAACGTATCATTATTGTGGAGATAAACCAAGTTAAGTAACTGAGGCTTAGAAGTCCCACAGGCTGGGTAGAAGGACTATTGCAGAGAGAGAAGAATGAGCATTCTGCAAAACAGCTACAATTTCTGCTGAGAGCTTTCATGTTTTTAAAAAAAAGTGATTTCTCTTCTTTTGACCACAACAAGCCTTCACAATCAATGCTGCTGCAATGATACCCTTTCAACTCTACTTGGCTGAACATTCTCTCCCAAGTAAAAAAAAAAATATATTAAAAAGCTGATTGGTGCCCTGATGCGCGGGTGCGACACAAATTAATGATAGCATTGTAATGCCTCCTGGCAAAAGTAATCTAGATTCCTGTTTGCTAATGGAAACTCGCAGGAAGCAAATTGAGTCATTGATGTCTCAACAAAATTGTTAGCCCATTGTTTGACAACAGAAGCGAATGCACATTTTTGTTGTGTACGGCTTTCTGTTGTTGTTGTTGTCTGCTGCTGCTGCTGCTGCTGCTAATTTTAAAACTCATTCTGTTCATCTTGATGTAGGATATACATAGAAGGTGAACACTGTAGTCAAATATAAAGCAAATATCCATAAAACCAGCAGCAGCTAGAAAAATGTTTTGGGGGAACCCTGGACAAATCCTGAAATGCAGCATATTCTGCCACTTACTTGAAGGATAAAGAATACCACTAGGGTGGAATGGGAGCACTGAAGCCTTAGCATTTTAGAAGTTGTCAAGTACTTAAACACCAGAGAACAGAAACATCACATTATGTCAGCTGTTACTCTTTCCCTAATCAGTGAATATTAATGCAGTGTTATCTTGAAGAAAACGGATCACCGAGAAACAGAATGTATTAAAAGCAGGATGTGTTCTCTGGCATTATATAATTTTCCCAGGGATTTTTATTTTTACCCTGTTGACGGACAGTGTAACAACTTTTTGAATCCAGTAAAAAAATAAAAGACAACCAACCCACAGCTTCTACAGTGCAAAGAGTGGTGATGCAAGCTGTGGGGATATAATGACTCCTTGTGATAACATTCCACAATAATCTTAAGACCAACACAAATATTTCTCAGTTACGCTGTGCTCTGCTGAATTCCTGCCCTCTGTTCAACAGGAAGAGGAGCGAGGATACACAGCGAAGGGTTCCCAAACCACACTACTTTTGGGGAGGATCTGCTGCCAAAGACGATTTTCTGTAGAACTACTGTATAATAAATCTCAAATCCTACCCAGAAGCTAAGATTTCTATATGTCTGAGGCTGCAATCCGTGTATTTATTCTTAAAATGTCTTAAGCAGAAGTTTCCAGGGTGGTATACAAAAGTGTGTGTGAAACTATTCACATAACTTATGAATACTACATGCCGACAATAAGCAGCACGATAAAAACATAACTCTAAGGAGCAGAGGAGGCAGTTTTAATTAAGATACCATCTCAAATGCCTGAACAAGTAGGAAGATATTTGCCTGGTGATGTTAAAAAGCACCAGACAGGTCGTCTTCAGGAGGGCATTCCGAAGTTGGGACACAGAAAAGGCCCTCTCTCTTTTGTGACTGCAAAATGTATCTCTGTTAAGAGCCTTTGGTTAGAGTGTTGGACTAGGACATGGGAGACCAGAATTCAAATCAGCTTTGAAGCGCAGTAGGTGGCCGCAGCCCAGTTCACAGGACTGTTGTGAAGAGTGGGTGGGGAGAGCCATATACAGTACATTACCTTCAACTTCTTGGAGGAAAGGTGGGATATAAACGGAAGAAGAAAAAATTTGGAGACGGGCCTCTGCAGAAGACCTTAAGACACAGTGATATAAGGAGAGGCGTTTCTTCAGGTACCCGAGTCCCAAGCACCTTGGGCTCAGAAGCAAATGGAATTCAAACAGGTATAATATGAGCAATGCTGGATATACCAGTCAAAATTCTGACAGCTAAGCAAGCGCTGCACTAACTGAAGCTTCCAGGGCATCTTACAGGCAGTCCCAGGTATATAACACATCGCTGAAATCCAGCTGGGAATTTACCAGAGTATGAATCACCATAGCAAGGCTATCTCTGTCCAGGAATAATTGCAGCTGGCAACCCAGCTGAAGCTCCTTCAAAGGCACTCTGAGCCACCCAAGACATTTGGTGCTTGAGTGACAATGCTGGATCTTCCAAAACTTTGTACCTGTGCTCTTTTGGGGGAAGTACAATCCCCATGGGGAACTGGTTGGACACCCATTTCAGTCCCACACGAGAACTACCAGCTCACCATACCTCTGACTTGTCAGGATTTCACTTCAGTGCACTGGCAGTCATCCAAGCGGGCAGTTGTTCTGCGAAGAAAAATTACGAGGGTTTTTGTTTGGTTTCAGAGATCAAAATGTAGGCAGGCTGACATGGAAGCTAATCACTCATTTAGTTTACATTCCTTAGTGGGGCAAGTGTTGGGGAGGGGGACATGGAATGAAATGCTTTATCAAGGGAAATACTTCACCCAGCATGCCATCCATTTTATGGAATTCAGAACATCAAGGGGAATAATAAAAACTCTGGACATTTTGGGTTATAAGCTGAAGTCGGGTGACTTTATGACTAATTACCACATTTTTTAGATATATAAAAATCACGGTTCCTTTACTTATTTTAGGGCGTATACAGAACACCTTGTAATAAGGAAGGTTTGACTGTTGCTCTAAGTGCACCAGACATAGGCAAACTTGGCCCTCCAGATGTTTTGAGACTAAAACTCCCATCATCCCTAGCTAACAGGACCAGTGTTCAGGGATGATGGGAGTTGTAGTCCCAAAACATCTGGAGGGCCGAGTTTGCCTGTGCCTGAAGTGAACCAAGTCCTTCCTTGTAGAGTTAGATTTTCCTTTGCACATGCTCTAAGCGGTAGCCCTCCTTTCCAATTTATTCCTAAAGGGAAATTGATTTCTTCACCACTCAAAGGCAGTGCATTTCCCCTCTACTGGGTTTTCTTTAATAGTGGCAACACTACTGAGTCTTTAATAGTGGCAACACGGGTAGAAATTCAGCTGGTAAAGCTTTTAGTCACAACACCTCTTTACTCATGGGAAAGCATTATGCACTGAAATTCTGCCTGTCATGCAACTGCTAAAGGACATGTGTTCTGTAAGTGCAAGTTTCAAGCTACTGTGGTCTATTGCCAGCTTTCAGCTTTGAAGCCAGAAGACATCATTTTAGAATCTCTGTATGTCACCAGTTTCCTCCAAGGTACAACCATTTGGTTTGAAGTGATGTCCATGCTCCTTCTTTGAATCTAGGGCAGCAGCTGTCATGAGTCTCCAGTTTTTGCACCCCCTATGGACCTGGGATAGCTCAGCCGGTAGAGCATGAGGTGCTTAATCTCAGGGTCCTGGGTTCAAGCCCCACATTGGGCAAAAGATTCCTGCATTGCTGGGGGTTGGACCTGATGACCCTTGCGGTCCCTTCCAGCTCTATGAAATGCTGGACTCCAGTTCTCATAAGCCTCAGCACATAGGGCCAATAGTCAGGGGTGAAAGAAACTAGTCCAGCAACATCTGGAGGGACGCTGGTTCCCCAACCCTGCCCTAAGTCCCTGCAAGAGGCCTGTGTGTTATTTCAATTGTGGCTGCAGTCCTGTACTTAGGCTCCCTAAATGTCACTGAAGGTAATGACAGTTAAATGGTCTTTCTGTGTGTGTAGAATTCTATTCTTATTGTTATTATATTATTTACACTGATATCTCACAATTTTCTCCAAGGAATTCAATATGGTGTACATTGTTCTCCCCCTCTTCATTTCATCTCCACAAAAAACACTGTATTAGGTTAGGCTGAGAGGCAGTGGCTTGACCAAAGATCACCCAGTGAGCTTCATGGCTGAGTGGGGATTTGAACCCTAGTCTCCCAGGCCCAACACTCTAACCACTACACAGCACTGGCTTGTAGACCAGATCTCTACTGAAACATTCGATTTTTTTTTAAAAAAACCTATTGGTACATAAACCTTGCTTATGTGTGACTGGACCTAAAAGCTCTTCTGCCTTCACAGCAATGCTTGGATGGATATCTGGTCCCCCTCCCCGAGGAACTAATGTCCCTTCTGAAACTTAGGTAACTAACTTTCTGCATGACAAAAGTGCTATATAGGAGAACCACAAGTGCATAGACATACTCTTGAGTACATCACAGAAACTTCCTACATTTGATCAAAGATGGGCTTTCCCCCCTGATGTCTGAAATATTAACATGCTAGTCTGCTTCTTAGTTACTGTTCTATTTGTGCCTGTTGCAGCATAATATTGAGTGCTGGCAAAGAATGTGCAGCTGAACGCCAAACAAAATAGTTGAGATTGGCATAAAAAACAAGACTTCTTACTGCATGTTTTGTCCTGACCTCCCCCACCCTTCTCCTGAGAACCAGTTTTTTTCCTTTTGTGTAAAAGGGGGGGGGGCAACAGAGTGAGCAGAGAGGGGAGGATTTGCCTTTCGGCTTGTCCCATGTTTGTAGATTGATGTTCACTCCAGCATAGTGCAGGTGCAGGGAAAGTACACAGCCTCCAAACAATTTTGTTTGTTTTTAATGTTCAAAATAGAGGGGCAGTGTTGTGGCTTGCTTTCTGTATTTTGTTTTTGCTTAAATGGGACAGGCTGGTTGCTTTGGTGATAATTACGTGGAAAAATAAAAGAACATCCTTTTAAAAGCGGCATAATTCACTGGGAGGTTCTCCTGCACATGTCCCATTGAAATCAATAACAGCTGTGCAGGAACTTTCTCCTGCCCATGTCAGTGGGGAAGCCGTTTCTCTTTGTGCTTGCACTAATGCTGCAAGAGCAGATGAAGCTCCCGTTCAATGCCCTGTGCTAATATGCATCGTTAACATTTTCTACTAACAGAGCCCTATTGCTCAGATGGACTTGGAATCCCTTATCTGCTTTTGTGGAATGCAAAAACATATGAAAACCTAAGCACACCCAACAGAGCACGATGCCTGTTCGGATCCGTTCCTCCGAAGAGATTTATGGACCTCTCATCTTTTCAAAAACCTTTTTGGAACAAACTGGCTGGATGTGTTGCAAACACATGTGGATGGGGTCAAATTCAACTGGATGCAATTTCATTATCCAGAAATAAATACAGTATTAAGAATGTAAGAGGAGGCCTGCTGGATCAGACTGCAGGACTATCTAGTCCAGCTTCCTGCCTCCACAATAGCCAAGTAGAAGGCTTTGTGGAGGCCACAAGCAGGACATGAGTGTAACAACAGCACTCTCTCCACCTGTGATTATCAGCATGCTGCCTCTGAATCTGGGGAGTCTGTATAACTTTAGGAGCTGTCGATCAGTCCATCTGGACTGGGGACCATAAGTTATGATATAAAGGTGATTTTCCTTGAACTCTATTTGTCTGTTGTTTATCAGAATACCCCTGCTTACTTCATAACTAGTGACTGATAGACTTATTACGTGTTAAAGCTACCTAACCAAGTGGTCGTTGCCACCCTATTCTGGCAGCAAATTCCATCAATGAATTATGGGTGTGAAAGAGTACTTTCCTCTAATCAAGTGAAATTCCAGATGAAATGAAGGTTTGTTTAAAGGCACTCTTTGCTAAATGTTACATTCCTTAGAACTCTTTCACTTTTAGAAAAGGAAAAATGTATAGAAATGTATTAAAAACATATACAATTATTCTGGGTTTGGGAAACATGAACTGAAATCTGAAAAATTTGCCCCTATCAGTAACTACTTTTCTAAAACAATTTTACTGAGTTGTTCCCTAAGGGAACAAGTATTGGGAGTGGGTTGCAGCAATTAAAGCCCAGAAGGCTAAACAGTTGTTTAGTGGAAGCAGGCAGAGAAAAATATGTATATGCATCTACAATTCTACATAGTGGCAGTGGTTAAGAAGAAAGAAGGGTTGGTTTAGTTAGTCAGTTTGCTTGCCTCTCTCCCTTCTCATGGGGCGGGCTGCATGCCTTCAGGCCATGTCATCACAGAGAGCATTTACTTATTTTACACAGTTTGTGGTTGAACTGTTATTACCAGAACCAGAGTGGGCTGCAGGATAGCTGAATATGAAAAAGGACTAGATAAATTCAAATTGAGGGATGAATAACTATTAGAAAGTTATAAAGATCCATCCCAGTGCATGAACGTTATGAGATATTCATAGCTGCTGCTGCTGCTGCTGCTGCTGCACTCTTTTCTATCTCCTCTAAACCAGTGTTTCCCAACCTTGTGCCTCCAGCTGTTTTTGGACTACAATTCCCATCATCCCTTGCCACTGGTCTTGCTAGTCAGGGATGATGGGAGTTGTAGTTCAAAAACAGCTGGAGGCACAAGGTTGGGAAACACTGCTCTAAACCTCTATTACAGGCATGGCCAAACTTGGCCCTCCAGGTGTTTTAGGACTACAATTCCCATCATCCCAGATCACCGGTCCTGTTAGCTAGGGATGTTGGGAGTTGTAGTCTTAAAACAGCTGGAGGGCCAAGTTTGGCCATGCCTGCTCTATTACAACATACCTGCACTGTACAGCTCCCACCCTTCCACCTCATATCATTGGCTGGAAGGGCAGGCACAGGGTGATGATGTCATATCACAAGTTGTATAGTTGTTAAGCTTTGCAGACTCAGGACCCGCCTTTAGCTCAGCTATGCATCTGGGGACCCACTTCCTATTTTCTTGCTGTGTGTGTATGGTTGTCGTGCTGTGTGTGTATGGTTGTCGTGCTGCTGCCGTCACCCACCTTAGGTCATTCTGTCATCTGGTAGCAGATCCCAACCCACCTGCTGTTATAGTGGACTTGTAAGGGCAGAGGACAAATAAAGGCAGAAAATCAGGAAGCTGAGGACCTTTTCTGTAGTGATTTGGTGAATTCCTTTTAGCTCCACCTTGAAATTTCTCAAATACCATGTGCAGCTTTTAGCTACATTTCTGCTTCCCTACTTAGCCTCTTGTTTACTTAAGTGCCCCGACTGAAAGCTTTGCATAAAGTTCCTCATGTATCCAGATACATTCGTGGTCAAAAAGTCAGATCCAAATGGAATATTTATGAAATCCAGTAGGGCTATTAGCACATGTCTGAAAAACTGGCAGAAATTCATAGTATTTTATGATGAAAGTTTTGCTGGATAAAGGGCGATGAGGAATGTTTTTCTGTCATTCATGTGGTGGACAGATGAGCAGTGGATTCACTTGGGCAATTATACTAACCAAAACACAGTTGGTAAGGGCATAGCTCTCGTTTCATGCCTTTCCCTTACCTCTGAAACATTGATCTTAAAAAGTAAAATTTGCAACCGGGACAAAACATCCTGGAACATGGAGGAATCTGGAGATCA